TCAGACCTGCTTCCACATTACTTTATATCTTCACAGCATCTTAACCAGATGACTAATCTATTTACTCATTCAATAGCTGTTTTGTCTGGCTCCAGTCTTTAATATTAAAAACATCGGCATTTTTATCCACTTGACTGAAATTATGAAAAGTTATCTACAACAACATACAGGCAATATATTCATGACATTTAAATCCACAAGATTTTTTTTCAAGTATACATGTACATGTAATCTGACAATATCATCAAAGATAGTGCCATCATTCAAGATGCAAAGACCTGCTCCAGAAGAGGTCTCCAAATGAGCATTTTATTTGCCTCTATTTCCAACCCTCTATTCAAAGTACATTCATGGGAATTCCTCGGAATCAATATAGATGTACACCATTTCAACTTTTTAAAATTTTTCTCAAACCTATACTCTGAAGCATCAATGGAACATGGAAAGAATTTACACAAATATGAAAACCCGTTCTCTGTGGTTTTTACAGTAAATTAAAGCTCTTATATAATGTGTGGGATATACAAGAATTTTATGGCATATCTAACTTAAGATTCTTCTCAACATACATTTATTCAACACTTTGGCATTAATATACCCTTAAAATTCCTAATCCTCCTACTTATATCAAAATTTTTAATCATTTCTCAAATTGTATATTTTATGAAAAATTGATCTAAAATATATGCTACCTTGATATTACATATGCCAGAGGACAAACAAGTTGGCATTCTCTCCAATTTTCACTCCATCTCCCTTTATCAAATCAGCTTCTTATTCAAAAAGATAAGTAAATTACCTGATAAGATTGTCAGATAACAGATTTATAAAACAAGTATTGGAGAATTAAGCCTGGCAAGTGGGCAACTATAAATTGATCTTTGGACCCAGGCATTGTGGTGTGGTCATCGCATTGGTTTTACAACCCTTTGGTCACACTATAGGTTGACCATCAATTCACAGATCATTTAACAATTTCATGGTACATAGATCTGAAAATGCCTGGGAAATGGGTAGGCATTTTGTCTACAATCCCACTGGTACAATAAACCTTCTGAGTTAAGTGAAAATGAAACTGGTTTGTTCACCTCAGCCAATTCTCATTAGAGAGTGGAAACCTTATAGTCCCTCCATTTCCAACGCGAAAAGCAAAAAAATAAGTTAATCAGTTGTGATCTATATTGCGAAACGTTACTGGCTTCTCCAATATTCATGTCTACTATATCATGGTGCATTTTATACATGTATAAGCAAAAAGCATTATAAACAAATTAAACACAGTAAAAGGTAAGGGAATTCTAGTTCTGACTAGGGGGAGGATGGGCAAATGAAATGGAAGAACCTGAATACAATTCCAAGGTCCAATATCAACTGTGACTATATAGAGAAAAATTATTGAGAACTTTTCTGCTCTTTGATTTTAAGACATTTGCAAAGCTGTACATGAAAATACTATTTTTGCTTTTAAACTCCCTCGGAAATAATTTAACATGCAATTAACTTTAACTGTAAAGCACTGTATCTAACATATCTAAGAAGTTTTATTTTTCATGAACAGAAGCTATTCCTGAAATTACAAGGCCCCTTTCCCCTAAATGCTCAGCGATACATTCCTACTTTCCATGTTTTTCAGCCAGACGCAATTTCTTCCAAGATAAATAACTTTATTGGTAAACTCTTGTAGTTTTTATTGATATTGGAAATACATATATTTTTCTATTTAGCTTTTACTACAGCAGGTATCCCCACTGGTTATAAATTAGTTGTATGTAGAGAAAACAGATGCTTAACCAGCAGTTTTTTACTTCTAGACCACACCAACTCAGCATGTTACATTATTAAGCCAATTACACTGTTGGTTTAATTTTTACTTCACCTTTTCCATTATTTCGATTTTCTAGGCTGTGCATTATAAGAATACTGCCCTAATTATCAACTGCGTAGTGTTATTCTAAGGAAAGGGGGGAAACATTTTATTTAAAACATTTGGGAAATATTACCCTTCCTCTTAACTATGCTCCCCATTTAAAGTTGCTAATAGTGAAAAAAAAATAAGTTTAACAATCAATCGCATTCAATACTGTTTTGCGACCTATGATCTGTTTACACTAAAATACTAATTGCCTCTGAAAAAAAAATATCATAGTTGCAAAATTTATTCATATCACCTTTAGAGTAAAAAGTTTCCATTTTTTGTGTTTTTAGAGGAGGGTAATTATATTTATACAAATATTTACTAATATACCTAAACAAATACCCCCTTCAGACACCAGGTGTTAATCATCAAAAACCTGACAGGTAATTTAGAACAACAGAAAATTGTTTAGAGTTTAGGTTACCAAAAAACAGAAACATCCAGAAAGAGAGAAAGAGCGATCTTTTGGCTAAGCGAAAATTATGAAGTATGCGCAAAATGCACACAGTCGCTAAGGGCTCGACGGATTTTTCCAAATTTGTTTTACCTAAGCAAACTCTGTGAATGAAAAGTTTAAATGCTTTTAAAGCCAAAGAGATCAAGTGGTCCGTTGACTTTAACATCCAGAGAAAAGGATATTTCCATTCATTTTTGTCAACTCTGCGTAATTTAATAGTTTAATTACAGCACAATTATACGACTTACCGAAGACTCCCCATTCACAGTTCCCTGAACAATGAGCAACACAAAGACTAATCCTATTAGCAGCCCGTGGGGTAGCGACTTAGCAGCAGACATCCTCCGCAAAAGAGGTGCAAACTTTCCCCCACCGTGAGGACTCTTGGCTAATAACGATCCGTGACTTGCTCTGTGAAGAAGAAAACAAACGTTCTCTCTTTAGTGCATTCGCCTAAAGAAAAACATCGGAGTCTCTCTCCGCCTTCAGCACAGAAGTGATACTCTGCAACTCTTACCTCGGTTGATCGCACGCCCTCGTACACACACGTGAAGTGGAATCCACCGGGTGACCTAAATAAGTTCGTTACCAAGAGTTAATTGTTTCTTAAAACTTCAATAACGCAATTAACATTCTTGTCATCTTTTCTTTCTTTGTTTATTAAGTGGCAATTACTTCCAAATTATGCTATATAAGAGTAAAAATATTTCACGCGACATGTAAATGACATTTGCAGATTGATAAGGTCTGTGACCGAATTACGGGTAGTATTGGCGAGGCAATTTTTATGGGGGTCAATAACTGCCAACCAATTTTAACTACAATATTCACTGTTTGGGAGGTTTTCCTGTTTTTATTTTTCATTACATAGTTTCTACATGAATGACGCATTAAGCTATCACCAGTTTTTTGTGGGGTTTTTTTTTCGGAAAAAGGGGTGCAGGGGAGTTTTGGGGGGGGGGGGGTATACCCTCCCCTAAACCAGATTTTTCTTTTTTAAAGAAATGGGTAGTTTTTGAAGTTCTGTTGAATTATGGAAGTCTTTTTCATGTAAAACTTGCTATATCTGAGAGATGACTGACTCTTTGTCAAAAAGGGGGTGGGTCACCCGGTGGGGACAGGGGTGCGATCGCACCCACCCCATTCAGAGGGCCTTGAAGTGTTCATTCAGAACAGAAATAGTAAGGACCATACATGTCAACTTACCTTCTTTATCATTACATGTAATGAACACAAATTAATTTTTAAAATTCTGAAAACTCATAGAAAACAGACACGTAGTATAGTTTTGAAAAGGGGGGGGGGGACAAAAAATGACCACATACCTGAAAAAAGTTTGAAAGACCAGAAACAAAAGGAAAATAGCCAAGCTCGAAAATGGGTGGGGTGGGGGGTAGGTTCCAATTCCTTTCACAACCAAATTTTATTCATACATTACCATATTTTTGATATAGCTTTAAGAAAATTTGAAATAATTAAGCATAGGAAAAATGTCATGAAAAACTATAATTTTTTTTTCATTTTGATTATGAGTAGTAGCTTTTTTAAAAAAAAATAATAATAATAATAAAATGTCTGCGATTTAGAAAGAAAATCGGCGAGATATCATATTTCTGTTATAAAGCCTAAGTTCGCGTGGAGCACTATTCAAGACAGCTAGGTGCTCTAATTGTGACGTCATAGTTAGGAAATGCTATCTATCTATCTATCGATGGATCGATCGATCGATAATACATTCATTCATTTATTTATTCATTCATTTATTATTAATTTTAATGAATTTAATATTTGTTTCTTATCATTATAAGTTTTTATTTTATTCATTTATTTTATTTTATTTTAGTTATCTTATTTTATTAATTAATTTATTTATTTATTTATTTATTTAATGTATTATTATATTGGAAAAATATTCGGGACTCCCCTCCCCCAAATTTGACAATGGCTACCAAGTCTATTTAAAAAATGATCAGCTGATCTGAGTAAAGCTGGACCCCTTTTTACACTTGTAGCTACGAATCAAACGAGGAAATACATTTTATGAAGTCTGATATTTAAACAGATTTGCATCTTCGCTAGCGAAGATGACAGATTTGTTGATGGATATAAAAACGTATAACATTTCCAGGGGGGAAATCCTTGATTATGCTTAGTTCTTTGCACCAAGAACGAAAAGAAACTGACATTTTTTATGTATACTAGTAAATAAAGAAAGCCCCTCAAAGAAAATGGTTCTTTTGGTTCTTCTCTCTCTCTCTCTCTCTCTCTCTCTCTCTCTCTCTCTCTCTCTCTCTCTCTCTCTGCGCGCGGAAATACTTATAACTAGTGTTTTGTTAGTCCCCCCCCCCCCCCCCAAGGTTTAGAAATTGATAGATCTTTGATTTTCTTTCGGGTACCGGCTTTTCTTTTGTTATGGTTGTTTTGTTTTTGTTTTCTTTTTTATTTATTTTATGGGGGGGGGGGGTGTTTGTTTTTCTTTTTATTTGTTTGTTTGTTTTGGTCGGGGGGGGGGGGGGTTCCAGACAATAAACCGACTTTGGTTTGGAAATTAGTTTAACCTAGTTTCCGGATTGATCGTCAAAGACGCTATGATCGCAGTATCGGTATCACAGTCGCTATCAGCTTAAGGTTATGGATAATTAATTTGGAGAGCGTATTTACGATCTGTGTAAACTAAACCTTTCCTTTTCATATTTGTTGGATTGTCAGCTTCAACTGATTCCTTATTTTCTATGCTCTGACATGTTTTGAAGTAGCCTATAATATTGGAAAAATTGTGATTTATAATAAGCTGAGAGAAGATGAAAGACACTTCTGAAATGGATTTGAGGCCAGTTACCAACTTGTATTCTTCAAGAATAGCTGAATGGAAAGACAGAGAGTTACAGTTGTCTCGATTACATGAGGAAATGTAAGACTATTAGGTTGGTTTGGGATGAAATAATGGATGTTGAAAAGTCAGAAAGAAAGCCGAGGGAAGGGGTGTAAATTATTGATGTAAACTTTAAATGTTTTTCATTTGATGACTGTGTGCCTATTATTTTGTTTGTTTGTATTGCATCTCCTAGTGAATGCCATAATGTAGAAGTAATATATAATAAACCATGATCTGACGTGAACCTAGAGTGATTCACAACATTCACATCAAAGCATGTGTAGATACAGAACACTGAAGTCCACTTGTGATATCACTTTATTGTAAAGTGCTCCATCATTTGCATAAGAAATACTGTATCACTTTTAAACATCTATCAAGACATAGATATGGGTTGATTATTACGTGATCAAATTCCTTAAAGCCTGTATTTACATTTGTGTTTTCATCATAATAAAGTGTTATATTTGCACTGTAATATTATTCTTAAACCCATGAAATGTATTATTTTTCGAAACTCAGCAGTATAAATTGAATCCTTTATGACAGAACTGAGAAATTAGTACATTAATTTATGGCTATGTGATGAACCTGTGTACAGTACCTAATAAATTTAAAGATTCCTGAAATAGTGTTACATAAGAGAATATTTTTACGAATGTAAATATATTGGGATATAGATTGAGTTTAGAAAATTAAGTTGTGTTTATTTGACATGCCTACATATTCATGTCCTTCTTTGTAATGAAAAAATAAGTCAGTAGTACTGATTAGAGTAGATAGAGGTTCCTATACCTCTCAGTTAATGAGACAAAATAATGTACTGAGAAACTGTTATCTGTATGTAGTCTGTTTGAGAAGAGTTTCACAAGAAAAGAAATACTTGTAGGCAAAACTTGTTAAGTTTGCTTAAAAATGATTTTTCGTATTAACTAGTGCAACACTTTTTCATATTTATTAAGTGAGAAAATTACATCGCATCTGCCATCATATATGATAGTAAAAATCTTAGGAAGACCATTCTTGAATAGAAGTTGCCTCCTCTCCATTGCTGGTAGGACAGGAGGGGTACTCTGACATTTTTCCTTACATATGATATTGCTCTCCCCAATAGCTTCTCAATCTCTAGCTACCACCTGTCTTTATTTATAGGTTTAATATATATCTATACATCATCTTTGCTAGTTTTTACATGACATATTGTTACTTATGTTTATAAACAATAATGTGTGCTGATTAAAGTTTTTTTTTCACAAGGGTTATAAGGTGATAGTACATATGTTCAATGTAAATTGATCAATGTCTGCTGAAGAATCGTTTGATCCTCTTTTCATACTTGACCTTATTCTGACCTTATTCATCTGATAAGACAGCATATCTTAAGACCATTATTATTTTGGGTGTGTGCATAATGCCATTTCCTTCTGATTTAAGATATTCCCCTTTACCATCCATTTGTTAGCATTTTTTTTATCTCTCTTCTTTATCATGTTCTATATATTTACAATAACACAATTTTAATATGTTTTACTAAATTTTTTTTGTTTACAGAGTAGGAAAGAGGGAGACTCACTTGAATTACAGTTTAGCTTACTCCAAAAACAGAGCAACGAGACTCCAAACCACTGAGCTTGTAGATATAGAAAAAGCACGTCAGAGGAATGAAAAATACTTACAGGTTCTCATCCACAAAAACTTTATTTTTTTGCTTATTTCTTGAGATTATGGGGTGCAAAAAAGTTCTGGTCAATAATGAAAAATCATGACTTAAATTAGTAAGATGTCAAGAAATTATGTTTTGCAAAGTGGAATACTATTGACTCGTGAAAGTTCATTTACATGAAATACTTTACAGGTTTTTTAAGGTCACTTCACTTAAAATATACTTTGATCATGTAATTTTGTGTTTATGACCTACTTGAGCCCAAAGTTTTCATTTTATCTAGCTAATTAAGGGAACAATGAGAAATAGCTTAATCTAACAAGTCTGAAATCAAAATTTCAAACTGCCTTTACCAATAACTTAAATTTCATAAAATATTTTTTCTTTTCCATTAGGATTTAATGTCAATTAGTGAGAACTTAAAGGTGGAGGGAGACAACCCAGTTAGTCCCAGACTGGCCACTCTTCAGGTATGTAGAGACGCTAAAAGACAGAATTGGAGTAAAGCACTTTATTTCAGATTATTTTTATGTTTACTTATGTACGGGAATATTTCTGAAAGAGAAAAAATTTAAAAATTAAAAATAAAAATAAAAAAGTTTTAATTTTAAAATGCAAATTATTTCATACATTCTTAAGATTGTTGAAACATTGAAGAAATCACAAATTTTTGCAAGAGATTTTTCTATCAAATAACTCATTTCTATATAATATTATGTGTAAACTGATTGATATGATATGGTTAGCAATTTCGTCCATAGGCCTCAAACTCAGATTACTGTAAATTTGTATATATACTAAAGAACTCATCACGAAAAGCACCATTTGCGAAATAAAATTGATTGATTTTAAGCTCACCTTGATGAAGTTGATGAGCTTTTGCTATACCCCCAGCATTGGCATTAACATACCAGTTAAAGTTTTAGCAGCAAGTTCATTGCATAGGTACTATAAAGCCTACCTGGAATCCTGGACCAAACTAGCATGGATGATGCATCTAAGGTTGCACACTAACAGACATGCATTGGATGCTGGATCTGACCTACATTTTCCAGATGAGTGACCAGGTTTAAGTTTTTGGAGCAAATCCATTCCCAAGTAACTATAAGCCCTCCCTGGACCTAAAATTCATGAATGATGCATCTAGGGATATACAGTATCGGGCTTGCTCCGGATGTTGGAACTGACCTACATTTTCCAGATAAGTGACCAGGTTATAGATTTCAAACCGAGCCCATTCCAAAGTAACAATAAGCCCTACCTGGGCCAATCGTAAAGGATGATGCATCTAAGGAATCACATTACCAGACTTACTTTGGATGCTGGAACTGATCTACATTTTCCATTTGATGAACAAGTTGAAGATTTTGATACAGGTCCATTCCCAAGTAACTATAAGCCCTAGCTATACCAAACTTGCAGGGATAATGCATCTAGGGATGCACATTACCAGACTTTCTTTGGATGCTGGATCTGACCTATATTTTCAGGATGAATGGACAGGTTAAATTTTTAGTCCAGTAGAATGCGGGTGGTTACGTTCCGATGACTTGTTCCACCTGCGTGGTTTCGACACAAATCCATGTTCGACCCGAGTGGTTTCGTTCCAAAGCAATTAATTAACAATTAATTGCTTCGGAACGAAATTAATTAACACTTTTAAAAGTTTTACATTTTATTTTTTCGTCTACAATTTTTTTATATTGACCACGTATATTTGTGTTAATTATCTTATGTAATTAAATTAGGAGAAACGTACATTGTTCAGACAGTGCATATGTGATCACGGTACATTTGAAGAAGTATTTGATTAATTTTTATGGAAAACTGTTTAAATATAATTCATTACTAAATCAAATTTATCAACATTCATGCTCCGCGATAGTAGAAAAAAATGTTAGGAAACCTGCATGTTGACTACACATACGGAAACAACTACCTATTGACACGCACATCTCTGAAGCCATACAATATACAGCTACCGGATATCCATTTGTTTACCGCACAGTGTATACCCCTGTACTCAGGTATTGACATGTAGGGATATATATTAGAGTAGGTCGAAACCACTTGGGTCGTAACCACGCGGGTCGAACACGGAATCGGAGCGTAACCACCCGACACCAGTCCAGTATATGGGCCCAACATCAAACTAATTGCAACATAAATTATTTTGTTATAAATTAAATCTAACATATACAAAATTTTGCAGCAAAAAAATCTAAGAATATCTAATGGGCAGAAAGCATAACTTAGGCATGATTTAATTAGCCATTGGAATTACTATAGAAAAGGGGTATAACTCTTCAAATGCATCCAATGTTTTGCTGAAGCAATATTAAAAGAAAATTTCAGTTTTTCCTGAAATTTAATTCTGATTTAAACTTTTCTGAAACAGTTTAATAGATCATTTTTTCATGTAAATAATATGAATTTGAAATGGCCATTTTGAATTTAATTTCATACTATTTGGTAATTTGGAAATGCACAGTTAAACCTTGTTATTTCATACTGGATGGGACCCCCCAAAAAACGGGATATCCGTGTTCGAGATATCGAAGTTCAGCTGTATAGCATTTTTTAAATATAGATATATAATGATCACAGAATTTAAAAAAGAATAAAAAAAATAAATTTTTGTTCGACTAAGATTTAGTAAGCACAGATCATTTCATTTAGTACATATTTACTAAAATATAATAAAAAAGCACATATCCATAAAAATTTAGAGACAGAATTTTTGATAACAGTCTGCCCTAAAATTTTATCATTATGGGGAAAATAAATGAAACATACACTCTGAATAAGCCTAAACACATCTATAAAAATGTTTTTTGCTGGATATAAAAGGCTTTATTGCATCTATAAATGTCATTTTACACAGTTTAATTCATTTCCTCTTTATTCAGGTTAGAAAAATGCACCAAAATTTTAACCAAAATCTACTAAATTGACAAGAGTTATGCCCCTTTCCATGGTTATTTTCATAGAAAATTTATGAACCCCAAATAATATGCTTTCCGGTCATCCAATTTTGTAAGATTTTATTTATTTTGAGCATTCTAGAGTTTATTTAAAACAAAAGAAACTGTGTTGCAATGAGTTTGAAGTTTCATGATAAACTGACTGGACTATTTTTGGAACTGTAAGTCCTACCCAAACCAAACTTGCATTGATATTGATCTTGGGATGCACACTAACTAGAAAAAATTTGATGAGATATGCCTTACTTTATAGATAAAATTCTTTGAGGTAATCTTTAATTACCTATGTTTTTATTTATATTGCTAAAATACATTTAAAATGTCTTGATCAAAGTTCACTGGAAATTTTCTTGCAATTTGACATCTAGGTCATTTTGCAATATTAAGTACTCAAGTAAAACATTACTCTTGTTAATGAAATATGATTACGATGAATTCAGTTTATGGAAATTCATATTATAACCTATTTGTATTACAGAATGACAAAGAAAAAGTATGACATAATATGAAAGAAATATATTCTGAGTAATTTACATTTGAGAGGTTTTAGTTTTTAAAAGGTCAAAATACTCTTATAATATAACTCTACAATTATTTACATAGTGCATTCCAGGAATGTTACTTAAAGCTTAATAAAGAGCCTTCTTAGAAATCTTCTGCTACCTTAGGAATACAGCTGTTTCTGTATGTGGTATATCAAGACGGGAAAGGGGGGGGGGGGGGGGGGAGGGGGTAGGCTTTATACCTTTAGTACATTAGGTACAGGCAATTAGTATGTACAGTTTAGCATGATTACATGTTTGTTCCTTTTTTCCCTAGTTCAATATAAACTGGAATGTCTGAGTAAGACAATATCTATAGACTTTGATAAGATTTAGTTCTTGGTGATGGACAAATGATGGATGGTAG